TATATATATATATATATATATATATATATATATATATATAAAAACACTGTGAAATCCTTCGTAATCTTTACCATTGACAGGCTGCAGCCATGTCCTGAATTCCTCGTCTTTCAGCCACTTTTGTTGAAATTTGCATTTTTCCATTCTCTAGCCTTTTCTCTGCCTCAAGCTTATTTTCCAATTGACGACTTTACGATCAACCGGAAGCAGTTCCGCGCAAATATATCGCAATATAATATATCTGACTTTTTTTTTTTAATACAGCATTTTAAATGCCACGATAATCACAATAATGAATTTTAATGCCAATTGAGGCCTTAATTAAAAAAATAATAATTTAGTGACTTTCAATTATTTTTAATGACCCTCGGAAACACTGATAATTTAAGATGTTGGATTTTTGGGACTCTGAACAAGACAATGCAATCCAGATTATCAAACTAGAAAGGTGATCAAAAAGGGTGGAGTGGAGAGTGCTTGGTGTGAAAATCATGGTTCACATTTAGAGAGACCACGCCCAAAGACGTTGCTGTCAGATGCACCTTAGAACAGGAGTTAACAGGGCAACTAAGGGACATCTATAACAAGGAATTCATACCAAAGTGTTAAACTTCCAATTTATCTAGACCAAAACTGAACAAATTAAATTTAAAAAAAGGATATAAAAGCCTCTTCTCTTTCAGAGTACTGAAGCCAGTCACAGACCAGTCTTTATACATTGAAGGAGTTTTCTTTCACAACGCTCCTCACATGAAACTCACATAAAAAAAAGATATTTCTGGAAGAAGGTAAATTTCACACTGCATTGCCCTCAGTTTTAAATAAAAAATGTAACAAAGTAAAATTAAGAGAAGTGAAACCATTTCAGCAGATGACATTTAGGGTGTGAATAGTGAACGCTGATGGGTGGACTACTGAAAGCATATGATCTAAATCAAACCATTACGTGTAACCATTGCATGTTAGACCCATGTAATAAAATCTGTCAAATCACTTCATTAGGATATAAAGAAAAGTGATATTAGCAGTGTGACTGCACACATTGAAACAATCTCCATCATCAAATAGAACAGAATACTAAAATACAGCTGTTACCAAAGATTTACCAAACATATTGCAGCTAAAAAAAATACAGACAAAAATCAAATACAGAGTAAATCAAACTTTTTGTAAGAAAATAAAACAACTACCAAATTAGGTAATCAAACAACAGAATGTTCTATCATTACACATTCATTTACTGTCTAAAATGTGTACTAAACGAAATTTTGTTTTGTATACATTCTGTGTATACAAAATTACAATAAAAGTTGTCTACACCCTGATCCCTGGTTTAATATGCTGTTAAGAGCTGCATTGTTTGCATGGAACAGATAAAGTGCAGAGGTTGGAGGTGAATTCACTAAGGACCTATGTAAGCAAACGTGTGAACACGCTACTCCTACACAAAGACTGAAGACAGAGGTCATTCGTGCCAGGAAGGACAATTGACGCAAGTTAAACCAACCTTTGGGACCTCAAATGCGTTTGGGAAAGGCAACTATTTGTTATACTTTAGTCATAAACACAAGGTCCAAGTCAAGGATTTGGACACACCCCGAACACACTGAATGCACCCATATGAGGTCATGAGGTGTTCAAGGTGGTAAATGCAACAACACTAGTGTTAGAAATTTTTCAGAAAGCTGCACCTCATTTGGTCTCTGTGACAACAATCTCTGCCGTTTCTCAACATTCCCACAAACTGACCCCCTGTCATTATGCTAAATTCAGTCAGTCTGGAAAAGAAAGAAACACACACATAAACATATCTCCACAGCATATCTTAGCCATTTACTACTGGCAGAGCAAAAGCAAGTTAAGCTTAAAAAAGGAAACTATAGAGGTATGAAAAAGAGTATTTCTTCATCTTTCAGTCTTAAAGGTTTCCTGTCCTTTTGCTTCTTAATCACTCTTAACAATTTTAGATCATGCTAATTTAGAAATATAAAAGATAATCTAACTGAAAGCAAAAAAGGAAGTTTTTAAATTATGATTTATGTAATAAGACTGTGTGGAAATCCAATTGCCACATTTTTCAAGTAATGAATCAACTGGGATGATCAACAATTGAAGAAAAACGTTTCAACAAAACCTGTCTGTCAAGACGAAGCAATCAAATAGTTTTCAGTAGGCCACGTATCATGAGCTCGAAGAAAGTAAAACAAGCAGAAAGGAAATAAAGTCACTTTGATCCATCTGTTTTCAAAATCTGACAAACCTTTATCCACAAATGGAGAAACACGGAACAGGGACCTAGCACTGCCTTTAAACAACAAAATCACCTGGGTGAAAGTTATAAAGTGGCCTAGTCAAAGCCTGGACTAAAATCTCATTGACATGATGTGGGTTAACCCTAAAGCAAATAATACAGAACCTAAAATATTCTTCAGAGAAGAAATAAACAAATATAGAAAAGATTAATTTTTATTATAACAGCCTTTAAACGACATATGGAAGAAGTTGCAACCATGGATGGATCATGCTGTTATTAGGTAAAGGTGGTAATCACTTAATCAGCATCAGGACAGGTGGGTTTGAATAGACCTCTTCCATTGCATGATACATACATATACTTTGTTTTAATACGTCGTCACAGACGCTACATGCAAACCTTAAACCGGTGTTACTCCAGTAACTCCAAGAATAAGAGGTGCTTGTAAGTATTGCCATTTTTATGCGAGTCATGTAAACTGATGTGGGACTGCGGTTAGTAATAACACTGCATTGGCATTCACCCCTCTATGTGAAATGTGAAACTGCAGGAATCGGAGGACCCCAGCAGCTACAACACCAAATCACAGAGTTAAGGGAAACACTGACCTTGTACATACTTGGATCTGAGTGATCGTAACAAGACATCTGGCATTGAAAGCTCATTCAAACCCACCAACGATGCACATTCCTCTTCTGTCGTCTTAAAGATAAAAACCATACAGAAGATAGAATCGCCACTGTTTGTTCAAATGCTGTAACCTCTGGCCAAGACCCTGTTATCCTGTATGCACTTCCTTTTTCTGCTGGAGTGCGATTCAGCAGGAAAGCACAGGAAAGAGGAAGACAAGTAACTGGGAAAGATTCAAGGGAACATTTTCAATAAAATGACACATCAAGGAGGCTATTATTTTTCTTTCCATTGAGGATGTGTGTGGTACAAACTGCTGACTATTCATGTAGGGAGGCTTCAAAAGTAAGAGTGTTTACTTTAGCTGAAAAAATAAAAACTTTGTTATTAGTACCTGGAGACAGAGTAAAGAAGGAACTCTTAAAAGACTTTCCACTTTAAACTAATGGTACAACACACACAGGAAGGAAAATAATGAATGCTTAATTTCAAACTACATAAAAGCTATTCATCTTCAATAAATCCAAACATGAAGCATGCTGGTAATGTGCCGTTACCTGTATTTGAGATCACTGGCAAATCTGCTGCCAAGGACCTCTTTAAAGGCCGCCTTGGTTTCCTCCAGCAGGCTCTTGACCGCGGAGTCCCCCACAGCCAGAGCGACTATGCGGCCCGGTGGCAGAGAGCGGAGCTGCTGGGTAAGTCTCCGGCTGTCATTACGGGAATCGTGTGTATCGTAGCGTTCCTCGTGCAGCAGTGCAGATGTATCCTGGTCAAACACTCGGAAGTTGATCCCTCGGCTGAAGTTTTTCTCGAAGGCATAACCGCCGGTGGCAAGCCCGGATGCGGGGATGCTTCTGGTCAGCAGAGACCAGGAAACCCGCTCTGTGCCGTGCAGCTCTAGAGTTCCACCCGCCATGACGCCGATGAACTTGCGACCCAGGATGGGCACCTCGGGGACAGCTTTGTTGTCCGAGCGACCAATTAGGGCAATTGTGGCACGGGACCGATACCGACATTTTGGTGAACCAATATGAAAGGCGCCACCATCTTCAATAAGGATGTGATGTGTTCTTAAGGTTATATTTCTGCTGCCGTCCGAATTGTCAGCAAAAACTACTCGACCTGTGAGAAGTCAAATGAATTGCATCTTTTAGGTAAAATTACTTGTTTAAAAAAAAATAATATATATCATTGCTTAAAATGCTAAATAAAGCTAGATTTTTTATCGTACCTCCTGACTGAATGGTAAGTGAACGGAAGGTGGCAGAAGATTCCAATCTATACAAGTGTCCTCTCCGGACAACAATATCTTTGGTTGGTTGGTGGCCTGGATTCCAGCTACTTAGGGATAGGTGATGGTCTGGACAGTTCTCTGTAAAAAAAAACAAACAAAACATTACAAAAATCATTTCTCATTTGAGAAAAATCCTAAAAGGTTGGACCTGTAATACCAACCATCGAACTCCTCTCCAGATGTGAGACTGAGGACAAGAATAAGTGTCAGAAAGAAAGCACCCAATGAGAAGCCGCAGCAGATAAGAGTGTTCTTCCTTTGCAGTAGGCTAAGATGAGTTTCCCTGCGCTGGTTTTCCACGGACGAACTGGGCGTAGTCCGTTGCTCCAGTCGCAGGACGTGAGGCTTGAACGGTGGAGGTGGAGGAGCTTTGGCAGGTGTAGGCGGGCGGGCGGGAGCCACCCGTCCGGGGACGTAACCTGGACACCTCTGATGGCTGCTGTGAGGCGGAGGCACAAATGCGGGGAAGCGGCCTGGGCAATCACTCGTCGGCATGGTATTCCTGTCCGCTTACCTGAGGCGAGAGGAACAAAAAAGACAAAAAAGGACAAAGATTAAGAGTGTGGAAAAAAAAAAAATCCATTTTACATCACTTTATCCCGGCCGGGGTCGCGAGGGGTGCTGGTGCCTATCTCAAGCTGTCTAAGTGCAAGAGATAGATCTGGTTTTGAAATGTAGGCATGAATAAAGATTTCAGATTTCCAAGAAGAAGAAACAAGAAGAGCAGACATGAGAAGTGAGCAAAATAACAGTAGAAGATGCAGGAACAAGGGGGGTTGTTTTTAAGTGATAGGAAAACAAGAAAATCACCAACTAACCAGCCAAACATTTGGGCCTCAAGGTTAATATCCAGAGACTTTTAAAAGTAAAGATAATTTGTCACATCAGCACAAACTCCTTTCATGAATGGTTTGTCTTGAGAGGGATGACACCGACTGTTCTAGTCAGGATTAATGGATAACATCATAACAGAGCATTCCAAACACAAAAACACAGCCAAACAGATGGCACCCATTACAGTTGGGAGAGGGAGGGCACTTTAGCTGGAGCTCCAGGCTGTTTAGCATAAATGGAGAAAGTAATGGCAAAAAGCTGAAGCCATGGATAAATACAAAGGCACACACCCCACATAATCATCATTTTAAGCCAATATCCTAAATCAGTTCAATTCCTATTTCAAAACTTTGTGGGATGAAAGTGGGAAAGCCCCTAATTTGATCCCAAAGATGCGGTTTGGACAGCCTTTATACTGTCCAAAAAAACTTTGGCCAGAATATGAGTTGTACAAACATTGGAGGTCAAATGGGCAAACACTTAGCACAGAATGGACATAAAAAAAATGTACACACCCCTGTTAAAATACCAGGATTTTGTGACTTAAAAGAATTAAAATTTTTATTTTCGGAACTTTCTCCACCTATGTCGTCATGTGAAACCCATAAAAATCAAATAAGACACTATATTTCAGGAGGAAAAAAGAAATAAAGAACCAAAACAGTGATTCCATAAGCCTGCATAATCAAGATATGACTTCACATCGAAACTAGGGCTGGGTTCATCTTTAATCAGTTTTCAAATCGCAGAGGCAAAACTTAGTTTTGATCACACTACATTTAACAAGTATAAAACAAAGAGTTTCTATCTCCAGCCCTTTAGGAGGCGGTAATGGACTTAAACTAG